ACACATTCTTCCCTCCTCCCCTCAGTGTATCCAGAAAGCTGGCAGTGGCGCCCGGGGTGGCGGGTGCACTGTTGGAGAGTGGGGGACCCAGTGGCGGGGGAGAAAAGAAAGGATCCAGAAACTATAGGAAAAGTGACTGAGTAAATAAAATAAGGTGTGTGTGGGAAGGGATTGGTCAGGACACCTTAGGTTCCTTGACATCCCAGCTGGCTTCCCAAGAGTTAACCCCTCCAGACCCCCGGGAACCCCCTTAGTGACGTCAAGGACCGGATCCTTGCCGTCTGGCAGGGGATGCCGGAGAGTTAATGGGGGGGTCTGGACCCCGCCCCCCTAGGAAAAACTACTCTAACTCCGGACCTTACAACTACCCCAGGAAATCGCCCCACTTTCTCCCCCTACTAGACCGTAAAGACCTATTCTATGAAGACCCCAGTTTTCCAGTCCCCTAAAACCTTTAGTTCCCAGTCTCTATGGGATCCCCTTTCCCTAATCCCGCACCCAAAACTAGCTGCCCAGGACGGATTGTTTCGGGGTCACGGGGCCTGAAAGAGGCTTCAGAGCGGGGAGCAAGGGCAGGCAGGGTGGTCTGAGCCAAAGGAGGGGCCTCCGTCCCCAGCTTCTGTTTGAGAGGTGGCCAACGGGGATGCATAGGCCAGCGGTCCCGCCCAGTCCCAGTAGGGGTCTCACTGCCGCTGGCCCCAACTGCCCTGGTGGTCCTGAGGTCAGAGGGTCAAGACAAGGACTCTTCGGCTCCTCAGCACCCAGCCTACAGCCCTAGGGACTCAGGAGTCCAAATTCCTTGGGGAGTATTTCTAGGGCCTAAACTAGACACTGGCCCCTTATCCCCCTTCCTTGTCTAAAATACACTCTTTTCCCCCAAAACACATGCACCAGCAAGCACATCTGTCACAAGACAGGTCAGGGGTTCAGGCCCAGCTAATCCCCCCCCAGTAGTTTTGTCACTTCATACACACCCATCCCCACCCCACCTAGGGCTCTCTCCTTAGCTGTCCCCTCCTTTCAGAAATACTGACGTCTTGCTGCCGGCGCTCAGAGACACACCTGGAGTTCCCTCTCTACCATGCAGACTTCCAGCTAGCTGTCCCTCCAGCCTCTTCATGCCAACCTCATGAAAGTGAGATGTTTCTAATGTATGGGCGAGGTGGAGACAGACAAAGAGATCCACGGTTGCCTGAAGCAGAGACACACAGACTGTCAGAAGAAAAGAGATACAGAGAAAGAGAGATACAAGTGAAAAAAAATCTCCAAACTTTCTAATATCTCACCCCAGGCTCTCCTACCCCCATTTTGCTTCTGTGACCCAGTTCTCCCTCTTGGATAGGCAGAGTCCCTCACAAGCAGAGCATCCCCTCAGGCCCCCTCCCCCACCGCTCCCAGGTGGTCCCCCGCCTGCCCCCCTTCTCACCTCCGTCTGGGCGCAGGGCTCGGGATGCGCGGTCCAGGGCTGTAGTCTGGGATGGGGGGTGTGTGGTGGGGAGGGGCGGCGGACAGGGCCACGGTAGCGCAGCCTCGGTGCCACCCCCTTTTTTCCTGGCCCCCAGCCCTCCCGCCGGCCCAGCCCGTCGGGCCGCAAGCCGGGACCACCCGTGAGAAGCGCAAACTTTTTTTTTCTCTTCTGCAAAAACTTTTTCTCGCTCAAGCCGCTGGCGCGCCGCCTCTCTTCCCGCTCGCTCCTCACCTCCCTCCTATTTCCCTCCCTCTTGCTGTTCTGGAGGATGAAGCGGGCTGGCTGGAAGCGAGAGAGGGGGTGCCGGGCTTATTGCACCCCCAGGACCCCCAGGATCCTCCCCCTCCCTTGAGGGACCCTAGGCTGCCTAACTCCCCCCCACCCCACCCGGGGCTGAACACGCTGTTGGTGGTGGGCAGTAAGTCCCGGCATGGATTCTTGGATGGGCTGTCCACGAAGAGGCTCTGAACCAGAGCCAGAAAAACAGATTGAGGAATACATGGGGCGGAGGAGTGGAGAAAACGTTCATCCCAGAAAGATAATGTTGGAGGTAGGGTCGTCGACTTTGGTTGGTTCTGAGCATTCCTCCACCTTGTAGTTTATCTGCCGGCCTCACCCTTCGGATGATATATGAAGGGGCTGGGACGGAGTTGGGGTTTGGTGAAAAGCAGGATTGGGTTGGGGGGTCCTGGGCGGAAGGTAAGGGGTCTACGGAACATAAAAGAGGAACAGCGGCTGAGGCTTTGGGTGCAGGGCGCGTGTTCACAGGGTTACTAAGGAACTCTGGCACGGAAACGGGGTTCCCGAGGAACCCTATTTCTCCTTCCTCTCGAAGTTCTGGAGATTGCGGCCACCTCCGCACCTCTGCGCTGCCCGCTCTCTTTCAGCTCCTCAAGGCTGTCTGCTCCCTCTGCTGGCCTTTTCGGCACATGACACTCTCTCGAAGTCCAGAGGTAGAGGAGGCTGGTCCCCGCACCAAAGCTCAGTTAGGAGCCCAGGGAGAGGGTTGTATGAGCCCAAAGAAACGGAGGGGCACACTGGCAGAGGATGCTAGTGCAGAGTGGTAGCGTCTGATAGTGGAGTGCCCTGTCGCTTTGAATTTGTGTTGCCATGGTGACCGGATGCAAGGGAAGGGGCAGCTATTTTAGTCTCTCTGACCTTTCTTTATGAGAAAGGGGAGAGAGCATGGTGGGGGAAAGAAGCCCCTTCCTTTTCTGTCACCCATCAGACAAACCTCCCACACCTTAGCTCTGCTTCCAAGAACCATCTCCTTGGACCTGGAGGGTCAGTAGGTTAACTGTTCAGTCTGGGGGTCAAGAGGAAAAGGTGAAACTAGGAAGAGGTCTGAGGCCAGACAAATATAGATAGTAGCTGTGAGGGACAGATAAGGAGCCCTATTTGAGCCTCCTCCCCCACATGACTTTGACCCAGACGCCAGTTGTACCCAGACCGTCAGGCAAGACCAATGGTCACCGGAGAAGGGATGGTACACATGCTTCTATCTTTGCAATGTGCCTGCTCTTCCAGGGAAGTTCTTTCAGAGCACACTGCTTTCCTCTCCCCACTCAGGTCTCTAGATCAGCCATTCTCAAACATTTCGGTTTCAAAACTCCTTCGTACTCTTAAAATGATTGAACTTTTGTTTATATGGTTTATATCAATTTACTATATTAGAAACTGAAACTGAAAAGGTTTGTAACCCAAGAATACACAAATACACATCCCGTTAAAAATGGTGTCAGAAAGATGATGTAATCACATATCACGCAGCCTCTGGAAGACACCACTGTACACTTTTGAGATAATGAAAATAGAAAGGCAAATCAGACCTTAGTATTTTTATGAAAATAGTTTTGACCTTATGGATACCCCTGAAACGGTCTAGGGACCCCCCCCCAGGGGTCCCCAGCTCACACCCTGAATACCATTGCTCTGGACCATCATCTCAGCTCTTTTTTATGACTCGTACATTGATTTTTTTCCATTTTTATTAGGAAAGTATAGACGTTTGTCTCCCCAGTGGGTCCTGCCCCCCACTAGGAAAAAACAAGAAACTTCTCAGGCTCAGTACCCCTCTCTCCTGACTCCCATTTCAGCTCTGCTAAACACTTTCCAACAGCCCCTTGCCCATCTCCCTCTTGACCCTCCCTTAAAGCACTTCAATAGTCATACTCTTGGCCAGCCTGTTTCCCCTGCCCCAAGCTTGCTGGGCCCTCAGTCTGCTTCTTCTTTCCCTCACTTGAGGACTTTCTCTTCTTGGGAGAGACTGAGTCATTTTTCTCTGCCTCCTCCTTCCCTCCCTCCCTCCCTTGCTTCTGCCATGTTCTCACAAACCTTAGAGTAGGAAATCATGCTTTCTGGCTAGATTTCTTCAGAGGACACACATTCCCCATCTCCCCACATATCAGCCAGCCTGGAATAGGCTACAGTCTGGACAAAAACGTCCCCATTTGGGTCCCATAGGGGTCAACCCAGTCATACTGCCTGGTGGCCCATGGAGGGGTATGCAGATTAAGAATCTGATGCCTCCAGCCACAGATGCTGTTTGCCTGGGAACCCCCAACTTGATCTCTTTACTCCAGAACCCAGTTCCTCTTGCTAGCTACAGCCACAGGCCTCTACCACCATATCTGGTACATCTGTCTTGACCACATTGCCATTGCGGTCCAGGTAGAGGAGAGAGAGAGGCCTTCGGGCAGTAGGGACACAGCAGGAGGTACCCAAGGGCCAAGGGTTGTTGGCCTTGAGGAGGCTGAAGACAGCAGAATGGAAGGAGGCAGCGATGCCTGGGCTGCCAGCCAGGTGTGGGGGGCATTGCCCACTGCAGTAATTCAGCTGGTAACCCTCAGGCTGCAGGATCCAGTCCTGCCATCCCAGTTCCTGGAAGTCTACATAATGGTCTCGCCTACAACATAAGGGGGTCTCAGGCTCACAGGTGAGGGTCCTCCTCTTGGTCCGGCCTGCTCCAGGCTCATTGGGCTGGATCTTAAGCTCCAGGAAGGGCCGCTGGTCTCCCACTGTGTCCAGCAGCCGCTGAGGTTGTTGGGCATTTGTGCCGTTGCTTTCTAGGCGTCTGCAGTCCAGTTGGAGTTTCAGGACATGAGACTCCTCACCCTTCAAGCCACTGGAGGGCAGAGTCAGGGCATGCCAGCCAGGGCCTGTCATCTGGTGCTCAGCCAGGAGGGTGCGGGACCCTCGACGCTTCCTCCTAGGGCTCCATCGGAAGATCCTCAAGTAAAGAGTGCCAGGAAGGGTGGGGAGCACATGCAGCCATAGGCGCGCATGGTACAGGTGGAGGGATGGAAGAGTGGACAGGTGGAAGGTGAGCGTGGAGCTGCAGGTTGAAGTGGAAGAGTCTGCCAGAAAGATGGAGAAAGGACTGAGAGACTGAGCAGAGATGGAGCTCTCCTCTGAGACTTCTGCAAGCCCTGCCCACTATTCTCCCTAGCACTCACCTTTAGAAGAAAAAAGGACTGCCTTTCGTCCTCCACAGCCAGTCCCTGCCCTATCTCCTCCTCCTCCTCCCACACCCAGAGGAGGGCTGCCTTTTCTGTCAGTCTCCCTTTCTGCCACCCTTTCCCTGTTTGCTTTCTGCCTGTCTCTCCTTCACCCACCTGTGGTGGTAGCAAAGCTGATGACCTCCTCCCCTTTCGCTGGAGCCACACTTTCCTGCTGTAGTCTCCGAAGAGCTCTGGTCAGCGCTGCCTGGGGTGGAGGATTAGTTATTCTGGGACGACTGGTCAGGTGCAGACCCTCCAGGATTTGCTGCTTGGCTAACTCCAGGACCAGAGCTCGTTCTGCTTGGGGTGCTAGTGTGGGGGCCCCACAGGAAGGACACAGAGACCTCACCCCCTGTGCCCACACCAGTGCCCACAGCAGCACCAACTGGAGCTGGACATCAGGGAGCCCCATGCTCTTGATAAATGGCTCCGGGTCTGGACGGGAGCCTCGCAAGGCAGTTGCTCCTTCTGTTGAGTCTGATTTCTTGAAGGCCAATGAGGGCACAGCAACAGCAGACACCAGTGCCACGCCTACCCTTAGTGAAGGGTAGAGCCACCTATCTTCTCTTGCCTGGGACTCAGGAAGTCAGAAAGTGGATGATCCGATGGGTAGCTGTGTTTAGCACAGTCTGCCAGTTTGACCCTCACGGCTCATGTCTGGTTACTGACAGGCCTCTTTAGAGCCAGCGGCCTGGGGCTCCCTCACCTCGTGGTCAGCCAGCAGACCTACCCTCTGAGCCCCAGATTGGCTAGCTGTGCTGCCCATCAAGCCCCTGCAGGGGGTGGAGGTCCCCCCCCCACCCCCGGAGCTCGGGTTTCACCATCTGGCCCTGGTCACTGAGCTTAAGGTAGGGTATGGGGGTGGGGGGGCAGTGTGGACACGCATGATGCAAGAAAGGATGATTTCACATGCTCTGTCCCCAAGGTCTGGGACTCGGGGGAGGGAACTTCATATAGCAAGGTGGGGAAGGGCTATTTCTCCCCATCCCTCCAGCCTTTCTAGCCTGTCCTGCAGCCACTGCAGCAGCAGTTTCCATGAGGGTAGCTGTGAGTTTCAGCGGTTATTTCTCTGGGATCTCTGGGCAAGAAGGAGAACTCTGGTCTCTTTATTTCTAGCAATGGAGCTGGGACAGGGTTGAGAGGTTGGAAGGCGGGGGTGGGAGAAATGGAGTCCTCTTGCCCAGGCCAAGGTGGCAGTGCCACGAGACACAGAAGTCACTCCCTGACCCTGCCTGTGCTGGCCGCCCAGAGTCCAGTTGGACTGAAGCACAATGTGGAGGAGGGCAGGAGCATGGGGTTTAGCATATTACTGTGATGTCTGGGGAAACCCAGAGAGGTGGGAGTGAAGGTGATGCAATCTTACAGCAGAACAGAGTCCATCAAGGCTGGCAGAGGGCATGAGACTTGGTAGGGCTTATACACAGTTGCTGGTTCTCTTTCAGGGGACTATGAGAGTTGCCTAAATGTGAGGCTCCTAGAAGTGGAACCAGGCCTATGTTAATGGAGATGGGAAGTGGGTGGTTTAAGGACTTTTTAGAGCAAAGCAAAGTACAGCAACCTCAGTTCCAATCCCAGCCCTCCCTACTACATTTTCTCACTGACTTTAAATGGGAAGGCCAAGGCCCCTCCACCTTGAACTCATGAGGGAAGGTTTCATGCTAGCCTTTCTCCTTATGCCCCAGTTTCTCTAAGAAGCTGAGAGGATGTGAGTCTGATTTGGAAATGTTCCCCCACTTCATTTTATTCATCTCCCCACTATTTAGTCCGTGGGGACTGTCAAGAGAGACTATAAGATCTGGCATCAGAGAGAGAGGTGATGCTTTGGGAGCTGGGCCTCAGTACCACCAGTGTCCACCATGTGGCAGTGCTGCGCTACTGGACAGCAGCTGCCTTAGAGCTGACCAGTTTCTCAGGGAAGGGGCTACTCTGCAGAGTGGAGAGATGGAGCACTTCCCAACCTCTCACTCTGGGGACCCTGCCTCTCCAACAGGAGACAGATAAGCTGATCACTCTGCTCTCTCACCTTGCCACTGCCAGAGAGCAGAGGTAGTCGTCCGGACCCACATCACTGCTAACTTTGGTTTGGGACCTCATCACACTAACAGGTGGCAATGGAGCTTGGTGATGGGTGTGAGGCTCTTCCTAGAAATTCAGGGCACCTTGTGGTGGGGAGCAGGGAGAAGGGCCAATAGGACTTTTAGAACTTCCTGTCCACCCTGCATTTCTCCCTAGGTCCTGAAACATATCCAAGCCCCTCTGCCCAGTGCCCTCCCCAGCTCCTAGCTATCTCTCAGTTTGTCTAGCTGGTGAGTGAAAGCCCTCTAGCCCCTAGGGTCTGGACCACAGAAATGCAAAATACAGGTCATGGTGGTATTTCAGAGGGCTTACCTGTTGGTGCCAGGAGACAGAGTCAAGGTAAGCAGCAAGAAGTGGCTGTAGGAGTCCCTGACCCCACCCCTCCCTCACCCTCTCTGTCATGTGCCCCCAATTTCCAGCTCTTCCTACCCTCTTGCTGCTGTGCCTGGCCCGGCCCTACCTCCCCACTGACACTTACGTCAGAACCCAGCTATAAATATGCTCTTAGCATCTTAGTCACTTTTCCCAAGAAGTGCTCCCAGGTTATAAATACCACAGCCATCTGCCTCACAGGCCCGCCCTACCACCAACCTGGTTGGGGGCTGGGGGTTAGTGACAGGTTTGGGGGCGGGTAAGGAAGTAGAAGAAGCCTGAATGATTATCTTACCCAAATAAGAAAAGCCTGACAGAGTTTAGAGTTATGGACCAGGGAGTTCTCTGGAAGAAAAGGTTTGGAAAAAGATAGACCCACTCTTACCCCTTGTTACGAAAGGTGGAGCCAAACGAGACAGGGAATAATACTAATCCTGTGTTTATTTTAAAGTTTGCCAATTAGTTCATCATATATTTTTTGCGCTAATTTCAATGTTTTAAAAATACTGAATTAAAATATTATTTATCATTATTGATGAATTTTCTGATATCTCCTTAAAATTTTTGCCCCTAGGGTGAGTGCTTCACTTCACTTCACCTTAGTCTTGACCCTGGGGACTAAAGCTGTAATGGGAGGAAGGGAAGTTAGGTCTGGGAGCAGGGTGGAGTGGAGGGAGAGGCACTAGAAGACTTCCTTAGATTCTTTCCTTATATGAAGATCTCCTCAAGCCAAAGGTGGGATAACTTCCATAAGTTTGCTCAAGAAGCCCAGCAGCAGCTCAGATTTGTAATCCTCCAGGAGGTCCCTTTCAGACTTTCTCCTCTAGGGTTCCTATTCCAGAGCCCTCAGACCCTGGTAGGAAGGGGTTATAAGATGAGCAAACACAGACATCACGTAACCCAAAGGACACATGGGTTTTGCGAAAACTCGGCCTTGGGCTGCAGACAATATCGACCCATGGTTCAGGGCTGTTCAACCAAAGAGTGGAGATGGTGGAGGTAGAGGGCAAAGGTCTAGAGAGGACCCAGTCTCAGAGCAAATGCCTCCCTCTTCTCACTCCAGGACTTCCTTTTCTTTTCCCTGTCTCGCTCAAGTGGCCCTTGGCCAGTTTCAGCTTCCAGGCAGGACTCCTAGATGGAGACCTGGAGATCAGTGAAAGGAAGCCAGACAGCTCTCCATTCCTTTGCTTCTCGCCAGTGTTTGCCCACAGGTTGTCAGCCTACTCACTAATTGAGCACTGATCTGTCTTATCTCTTCGAGTGAGCGCAGAGGGAGGAGAGGAGTCTTATCTCTTGGAGTGAGTGCAGGGGGAGAAGAGGAACAGGTAAAACCCTGGTGTTACTGGCCTTGAGACCAGCAAAGATGGTTCTGGGAGCGTGGAGGGGACCTAGCAAAGAAGAGGAAGCAGCCTGGGGAGGAAGAGACATGAAGTGTGGGATGGGTGGGATAGACACAATAACTCAGCCCCAAGGAGTCTGTGTGAGGAGAGAGCTGAAGCGGTCAGAGCAGGAAGGCTGTGTGTCATCTGGGGTGTCAGTTGGGGTCCTGGCAGGAGACAAAAGACCCACTCAGCTGTCTGTGTTTGCGTTGCTCAGAAGACTTAATAAAGAACTTCTTTGCAGAGGTATGGGCAGGGTTAAAGGAACCAACGAGAGATGTTGAAGCACCCAGAGAATAGCAAGAGTGGAGAGCCATTACAAGCCGCTATCTCGGAAGCGGTGATATCAGAAGCTAGGGAGAGCTGGAGCCATGGAAGGGGGTAGCCAGACAGGAACTGTAGGGACATGGCCATGGCCACAGTCCACTGTGGCACCTAGGTGGAGGCAACAGGAATAATACCAGGACTTCTTGCCTGTGTCTCCCCTTAGTCAAACTCAGAGGAAAAAGGGGCCAAAGAAATTCAAGTGAGTCAGCCCTTGAGGGCATAGAACAGGACAGAAAGACAAAAAATGGATGTGGGTGTGCCAAGAGAGCCTCAGAAGCCCACCTGGTCAAATAAGAAAGAAAGAGGCTCAACACACAGAGATGAATAAGCCTCATTTTGAAGAGTAGTGATCTAATCTTTGGTGAAACTAAGGCGGGGCCTCTTTGGAAATCCAGAAAATCAAAAGAAGGGTCTATGTCAACTTAAACAGGGAGGGGGCCATTGAGTGGAAAGGGCTGGGAGGCATAGTGGATTAAGGGTGGACACTGCCTGGAAACCAGATGGCACTGCTCATGGTTGGAGGTAGATCAGAGTCTCTGGGAGGGCAGTTAAGCATGTGGGGCTTACTGGATGCACTATGCTCTAAGAAAGAGGCTGGTGGTTTTGAAGATGGTACAGTGAATCTCCTTAGATGAGGATCTCCTCAAGTCAAAGTTGGGATAATTTTCATAGGTTGCTAAGAAGAGGGAGCCCACCTTTTGGATAGAGGCAGTAATGGGGTCAGTCTCTCCTCCTAAGGATGGGCACCTCTGTGGGAGCATGTTTGCCTACTCTACCTTGGGCTGCCCATACTAACTGCACCCACAGGCTTCTACCACCATGTCAGGTATGTCAGTCTTGACAATGTTGCTGTCCCTGTCATAGTAGAGCAGAGACAGGGGGTGCCGGGCTGTGGGCACGCAGCATGAGCCACCTTCAGTGGTGCCCATAGCTGTGTTGGCCTTGAGAAGATTGAACACTGAAGTGTGAAAGGAGGCAGCAATGCCAGGCATGCCTGCCACATGCAGTGGGCACTGCCCTGTGCAGAAGTTCATTGCATAGCCCTCAGGCTGGATGATCCAGTCGTCCCAGCCAATCTCACGGAAGTCCACAAAAAACTCTTGTCGACAGCACATCCTGGACTCACCCTGGCAGTCAATGCCATGCCGGCGGACCCGTTGCTTGCCCCCAACTCTCACTCGGGCTGCCACGAAAGGCCTATGAGCAGCCCCACCCAGGATGTCTGAGCTCTGGGCTATCTGACTTTCAGATACCAGCTCCAGGATCAGGTGTCCCTGGCTGCAGGCAGCCTGAGCTTCAGGCCCCAGGAAGAGTTGGTGCCAGCCGCTAGCATCCACCTCCAGCAGGTGCTGAGTGGCCAAGGTGAGGTTGGCATCATGTGGGCCTAGCACTAAGACCCTCACCTTCAAAGTCCAGATGGTATTGGGAGGGAGTTGCACAAAGAACATGAGTCTGGCTTGCTGGACTTCCATGCCACCAACAGTTCTATCAGAGAAGTGGAAATCAAGACGAGTCTGGTTGATGTTGGAGAGGCCTGTGGACAGAAGAAGCCCCAGTCATTGTGGCCTCCTGAGTGTCAATTCTATGAGCCATCTCTCTATTCTGAGCATGTTGGAATACTCTTTGTTCATTTTTGACCAAATCGTTAGTATTGTTGACTACCCTTTCCTTCAGGAAAATCTTTTCTCCCTTGGCTTCCATTACACAACTCTCTTATGACTCTTCCTTGATTTTCTTTGCTATCTTTTCTTTATCTGACCATCACTTGAATGTGAGAGTTCTCCAAGGCTTGTCTTTGACCCTCATTCCCTTTTACATTCATGGTCAGCCAATATAATTTTTATGCTGGTGATTCTCAAATTTGAATGTCCAGTCCACACTACTTTGCACCTCTGTATTGGACATATAGATTTGGGAATCATCGAATGCTTTAGGTCACATGAATGTCCTGCCAGCACATTAAAATCTATATGTCCCAAGCAGAAATCATTCTTTTTTTCTCCCATATACCTCTCTTTCTGTTCTTAGAATTGGTGGCACGACTACCCTTCTTATCATCTGTAGAAACCATATGTTCCCCTCCCTTACTCTCCACATCCAATTCCTCACCACAATGGTTCTAAGGTCTATGCATTTCTTCCTATCGCTATTATTATTGCCCAATTTTGCCTTTTTATCCCTCACCTGTCCTATTGAAACACTTTAATTGTTTTTCTATTCCCTTCATTCCACTGAAATTACTCTTGTCAGGATTATCAGTACCTTCCACATTGCCAAGTCCAATGGTTTTATCTCTTTATATTCATCTTACTTGACCTTAAAACAGTGTTTGACAAACTTAACCACATTCTTCTTGAAATTATTTTCTTCTGCTGGCTTTCATGACTCTGGCCACTCCATCTTAGTCTTTTTTTTTGCTGACAGCTCCTCTTCCTCCTCCCGACATTTAATCGTTGGAGGTTCTGAGCTCCCTTCTCCTTTCTCTTCTCTACCTATACTCTCTCTCAGATTGATCCCATCAATTCTATTTATATGCTGATGACTCCAAAATATATATCCCTCTGACATTTCTCTGAGCCTCAGGCTTGTATATCCAGCTACTGAACTGATATTCCACTTGGACATCCAATGATATATCGAACTTTTCATGTTCAAAGAAGAGCTCTAGATTTATCCCCCAACCCAAACCTATTCCCAACCAATCTTTCCCTTCCCTATAAATGCATTGGTTAAGCCAAAACCTTGATCTCCTATTTTGAAATTATCTTCAAGATCTGTCAATTCTACTTCCAATTTGTAATATAATTTCACTTATCCCACCTCCTCTACTCTACATTAGTTCAACCCACAATCTTTTTCTTGAACTATGGCAATAGGTTCCCAGATAGTTCACTGTTGCCCTCCAACCCATTCTCCACACATCATCTAGAATGGTCTTTTTATCACATAAACCTATTGCCATAGTTCAAGAAAAAGCTTAACCACCTCAGCTTAACCACCTCAGCTTTGAATTCTTTAGTCTTCCCATTGTTATTTGAATAAAATCTAAACCCCTTAACATAAAAAAAAAAAACTTATATGATTAGGTATTGTGCTATTTAGTGACTTCACCCTATACTTCTTTAGTATGTTCAACCTATACTTGAACTCACCAAACATAGACCTACCTCATGGTCTTCGCATCTGTTGTTTCCCCTGCCTGGAATATCTTTCCAAGATCTTTAAATGAGTGGCTCTTTTTTGGCATTCACCTCAAATGTCTCCTCCTCAGAGAAGCTTCCCTGACCAACCTAAGCAGACTTCAACTCTACCTCCATCTCTCTGATACATCATCCAGCGTAACTGTATTTACAGCCACTCTCACTCTCTGTAATCATCTTAGTTTTTTCATTCATTTGTTTACTATGTGCCTCTCTTTCACTCCTCTGCTCCCTGCCCACCCCCCGCCCTAGCTAGAATGTAAACTCCATGAAGATAGAGATTGTGCCTGTATGGTTCATCATTGTACCCCTAGTACTTAGTACATAGTAGACACTCAATAAACATTTGTTGAATGGATGGTTTTTCATTTCTTTAATTCTTATATTACACTGACACCAGAGTTATTTCCCAAAACTTGGCTAGATCATAAAATTCATCATCTCAAAAAACTTATTGGTGAATAAAGTTCAACCTCCTTTAGGAAATAGTTGAATGCCTATTATGATTTGACCTTAGCTATCCTTCTTCTTCTTCTTCTTCTTTTTTTTTTTTTTGTCCCCCCTCCAGGGAATGCTATTTATTGAGTAAATGCTGCTTTATTTATTTATTTATTTATGATGTGAAAATTAGTCTCAACATGGCTTGTTCTTTATATCCTTAGTTATAGGACCTTTGCTCAGCTAGTCTCCAGGTTGATTATTCTATATTTTAGTTGCAATTTTAATGCAGTCATGGGAGGAGGCATGTGCAGCGTTTACCTACTCTGCCATTTTGCCCTGGTCAGTCTACTCTTAGTGCTTTATTGTAGGAATTCCACTAACATTCTCATGGACACAAAAAGGCAGAAGATAAAGTTCAACTAGGCTTTGTGTGATCAGGAAATTCAGGAATAAGGCTGCTCTTGACAGCTCTCAGAGCCAAAAGGATCTCACTCAACTCAGACTATCTATGTAAGTCTACTCCATTTTTTTCTCTCTGTGAATCTACTTCTTCTGCCTCCTCTTTAGCTTCCTCAGGTCCCAAAATGGTGGCCCCAGCTCCTGAGTCTACAGACCTTTTACTCACCTCCTCCAAGCTAAGTGAGCTGATAGTTCAGTGTCCCAATTCTAAAATCCTAGAAGAGTCTAATTGGCCCAATTAAGCTTTTCTTGCTAGGTCACTAAGCACCCTATTGTTAGGATGTCTTATGTCATCCTGGTTATAGCAGGCAGATACATGACCCACAGGGGCTGTGGTAGACTATTACATTGTTGGCCCCCAATGAACAACAGCTCCCAATATTCATGGCTTTGTGCAGTTTCTTCCGATATTAAGTCTGGGTTCGGCCATGTGTCTTGATCTGGCCAATGAGACATAGGCAAGCATAGTGCAAGCAGAAGCTCAATTAAGTACTTACACACTAAGGCTTCATCCTCTTGAAAGCCAACTACCATGCTTCAAAGAAACTTGGGCTAGACTACCAAATGATGAGAAGCCATGTGGAGAGAGATTTTGGAGGATCGAAGACCATCTTAGATGTTCTAGTCCCATCTGAGCTCCTGGTTGAATGCAGTTACATTAGTGACCTCAGCTAGACCACATGAAACGGAACTGTCCAGATAAGCCCAATCAAATTACAGAATCATGAGAAATATTGAATTTTTCACTTTAAGCCTCTATATTTGGGCTGATTTGTTATATTAACAGTTAATTGAAACAGAAACTAGTATCAGAAGTAGGTTGCTCCGTAACAAAGATCTAAAATGTAGCATTGTTTTTGGGACTGGGTGGTGAGCAGAGGTTGGAAAGATGGCAAGGAGATAGTTAGTGAAGGTAGGAAGAGCAGTGAAGAAATTGCTATTGGAAGTTGGAGAAAGGGGAACCTGTGTTATGTATTGGCTATCAGCTGCGATAACTTGAAAGCTAGAAATGATATCTAACAAAGTTGTGAATTTAGCTAAAGATATTTCCAGGCAGAATACTGAAAGTGTCAAATGGCTTATTTTAGCTGCCTATGATAAGGCATTTCAGGAGTGAGATGAATTCAAAAAGGAACTGTTCAATTTTCAAGCAGAATTTAGATTAAATATTTCCAACAGGACTTGTTAGATTGAACAATAAAATATTTTTTAATTCCTTGCCTCTCTGTATGGCAAAAGGTTCTTCGAGTAAGAAATGGTCTCAGGGCAAAGATCAAACCCAGAATACTGCCAGTAAAATATAGCCTCAGTGTGAATATCAAAACAAATAAAGGATCAGCCATAAGACCATTTGCTAAGATCTAACATCTTTGTTAAGATCTAAAATTTAAGATGTTCTTTCTATAGATCCTCTCAACTAGACAAAAGGGAATCTAAGAATCTTAAGAGTCGTGTCCCACAACACTCAAACTTGTAACCTAAAGAGGGGTCTGTCTTGAAAGAGTGGAGTGCCTTTTGTCTGTAAACTACAATTTATTATTTAGAAGGGAAGTTTAAAGAGAATTTTAATAGCAAAAGCAATACTAGTTTGGACTAAATGGAACAGAGACAATTCAAAATGAATTGGGCCCCCAACTTCTTTGGGCAGGAAGAAGGCTGAGAAAACCACTCAGCCACAAATGTAGGTTATTTCCTATGTTTCCTAAAAGGAAAGACATCTCAGAAGATAGAGCCAAGGGCTGAGAGAGTGGTTCTAGAAGCCCAGGAGTGCAGTGGTGGGCTCTTCTTGAGAGAGAAAAATCCTACCAGGGAGTATAGCCAGGCCCTAACCAAAGAGATTCTGGATTTGGGGTAAACAGGAGTGTCTATCACAATTATCCCATCTATGTCTGAGTATTGTACATTAGGTAAGCGGAAGGCAGATAACTTGTATTTTTAGGTCACAGGCAGTGGTGTGTTGGTAAATGTTTAACAACTGGATTCCAGAGGAAAATAAAAAACCTTGATTTGTAGTGTTTGCCAATTTCTGTAGTATAAATCCTCCCACCATGGCCTATTTAAAACTATCAATGTGATATCACTGGATGCAGAGTTGGGAAATGTTCACAATCAACACTCATGAGCCAGTATGAGCCACTTCCAGGAACCGCTGAAGGCCGTTCTCCTAGTTTCCCCAGAGTGTCAAGCTCTCCCTCTTCAAACCACCAGCAAGAACAATTTTCAGATCTTTCTTTCATACTATGCAATAAATGATAACATAAATTGGAATGAAACATCAAGCTAATATATTTAAATGTAAAAAATGGAATCCAGGTATCAGTCATTCTCACCTCCAAACTTCATAACAGATCAGGCCCCTCTGGCCTGAATGCTGTATTCATTCATTGATTAGCAAATATGTGGAAAGTATACAGACTTTGAAGTCAGAGAAAACTGTGTTTGAATTCTGCCTGTTGCAAGCTGTATGAACTTGGCCACATAAGTTTTCATTTAGTCTCAGTTTCTGCATTCATAAGATGAGACTACTAAAGTCTACTTTATAGAGTGGTTTGAGGATTAAATGAGATTAGGCAGGTACACCAAATACTTGGCAACCATCATTATTGTCACATGTGCCAGAAACTGGGTTAAGTGTCAGGGATACAAAGGTAAAAAAAAAAAAAGAAGAAGCAGGATTTCGATATTCAAGTGACTCATGGTTCATGGCCATCTGTCCACCTTAAGCTCATTGACTCCAAACTACTTTTCAATCCCAAATGCGGTCTACTCCTTCAGACTTTTTCCTATGTTTCCCCCTTCTATTTTAGGATGTTATTTACCATTCTCTACCCAATGAAGTCAAACTTACTCAAAATGCCAGCCCATTTGTAATCTTTTTCTGAAAGACTTCTTTGTCTCATCAGGTCTCAATGAGTTACTCCTGGCGCAGCAAGCTCTTGTGCCCTCACCTAGCATTTATTTCATTATGCCTTATATTCTAATTAATTTCTTTCCAACAGCAGCAACTAAACCCCTCATAGGCAGTAGCTGAATCTTCTATTTCCTGTTCTCTCCTACCTTTGCTTTCTAAGTATATTACCTGTATTAGCTTATTTAATTATCTTACCTATCCTCTTATATCCCCATTTTACACATGAGAAAACTATTAACAACCCAATGCACACAGTAATAAATGTCTGAGCAAGGATTTGAGCCCAGGCTAGCTAGCTCCAGAGTTTGTGTACTTAATCATGAGCAGAAACCTTTTGAACTAGGATAGGGTCTCATTCATCACTGGGGACTCTAGACTGTGGTCAAACTGACTTACAGTGTGATTTGGTTGTTTAATGCAACCAATGTCCACTGGACATCTACCATGTTTATGAAGCAGAGTGGTGTAGTGGCCAAAGCCATGGATTCTAGAGCTAGGTTGTCTGGCTCCATCATTTACTGGTCATGTGACCTTTAGCAAGTTACTAAACCTCTTTGTCCCTCAGTTTCATTACCTCTGAAATGGGAATAAATGACAGTTCCTGACCTCAAGGAGTTGATATCCTATAGGAAGTCAGGCTTCACAGAAAACCTAGAAACAGGCAATTCCACATAGAGAGTTCAGGTTCAAGGTGAGGGTGTAGGGGCCATCAAGGAGGGAGCACCTCACCCTCAGGTCAGCGCAGGTTTTCAAGGATGAGAGTGCTGGGTCTTGAAGGGAGAGGGGAGTAGGTGCTGACCAGAAGAAGGAGGCCAGGAATAGGAAGGGTCTTCCAGACCTAAGAAAGAGCTTGCAGGAAGCTCAGAGACCAGATAGATCATTTTCTGTTCTGTTTCTAGAGTCCTTTCTCCGAATTCTTGATCTTTCTCTCCAGATGCCCAATAAATTCTTCAACTCCTCTCCCTTCTGTGGAAATAATTATTCTCTTCTGCCCTCTATCTATCTTTCTGTGTCCCATTTTAAACCTGTTCTGATGTGGGCGCCCAAAGTATCAAGGCAAGAGAGCAGGGATAGGGTGGAGAGGTATTATAGCCCTGGTGTTTTTCCTTTTCCTTTTTTACCCAGATGAGGCATCTGGGGGAGGGAGTGATGAAGAGGCTGGATCTTGGGCCAGAGAAAAGACAGATTCCGCAGCTTCCAGCCCCTGTGTCCAAGTCCAGGAAGTGGATAAGCTCACACTATGGCCTGGGGAGGTTTGTGGGGTGTGCAGGGGGATGAGCTAAAAGAGATGGGGGCAGTCAGTCTCAAAAGAAGTGAAATTTATCCACTTCCCGGTTGCCCATTGATCAAGTCTAGACTGTAAGAGAGAGCCTGGGATGTGGGAGCCCTGGACTAGGAGATTGCAGGCTGTGAGAGGCAAAAATTTGGATGGTTTAGGGGAGAAAGGCAGAGGTGAGGTTGGGAGGAGGACGCTTTTCATTTCCTTGAGAGGTCAGGTTTTGGGGAAGATCTACAGACCAGGGACTCACCTGTCTCAGCAAAGCTGATGATCTCATATTCCTGGCCTCTGTCAGCTTCCGGAAGCGCCCCCTGTGGGGGCCCACGGAGGTGCTGCAGTGCTGTCCTCAGAGCAGCTCTGGACATGGGCTGACTCAGTGTTGGGCGCTGGCTGAGGTGCAGCTTGTCCAAGATGCTTCTCTTGGCCAGGTTGAGAAGTAGCTTCCGCTGGCTCTCCAGGTCCAAGGTGGGCTCCCCACATACCAGACACTGATTGTGTGCTCTAGGAGTGACCACTGTGGCCAGAGACAGGAATAGAAAGGCCTGAAGCAATGAGGAGATCATTGCTGGGGGAGGCCCTCCTTGAGCGACACAAACCGAGACAGAGCCACAAATTGGGGGCTCAGGGTCTCAAAAGCTGTGGTCTCGGCTTCCTCCTGGCTACCAGGGGCCCAGGAAGGAGAGTGTGTTCAGCTGGCATGACTCCTTGTTGCAAGGGACAGAGCAGCCAAACATCTGATTTGAGAGATGAAGCCAGTTACAGGTAGAACTTGGCAGAAGTCGCCAATGCATAGTCAGTGAGAGTGCAGAGTGGGGGATGTAAGGGGAGATTGATTTGTTTGGGGAAAGAATTGTCCCTGGGCCAATGTTGAGAGACAGTGGGTTACCCATGTGAGCTGCCAGGTCTGGGACAAAGGTTAGAGATGAAATTCCTCTTCAGATCAGCAGACTTGCTGAGAAGCCTGGTGGGGAAAGGGAGAGATCAGAGGTTTGAAGATAGAATGTTAAAGGGTGACACTCAAACAAGAGGGGGGTCATTGGCAGGCATTTTAGGTCACTGTCATGCAGGTAACTGAGAATTGCATTTTCCTTTGCCTAGTACTTCTCAAAGCCCACCCCACCGCCTCCTTCCTTCAGGCTCATAATGCAGATTCCTTTGTTAGCCCTTGTTGGCTCAGAAACATCCAGTCTGAAAGGTTTAGGGAGAAGAGGGGAAGTGTTCTAGCCAGATCTTTTGTGTCCTCAGAGGGAAGTCTGAAGGTGGGGAAGGGACTTGAGAGCTAGATTTACTCTGGAGTTTCTTCTGTTTAGGAAAAGAAATTTTGAGATTTCTCAGAATTCCCGGCTCTCTTCCCAAAAGGTCCTGAGTAGTAGCTCTCCAGGGAAAGGCTTTTGTTTCCACAAGGCAGATTTACCTGGCAGATGTGGCAGGTAGAGTTAGGAGCATAGGTTCTCAAACCAGATGACCTTGGTTAAAATTCTTTCTTTAATTAGCTATGTGACTCTTGACCTCTCTTGCTTTAATTTCTTCGTCGGAGAAGTGGGAAAAATTGTTATCCACAATTTCAAAATCCCCCAAGTAATCCATATATATATATTTTGATAACTCATATGGTGGCTTAACCTGACTTGAACAGAGTTAGGTTATTCACAGTCTTTTAAAAAACCATATGGAGACTATTTATACATTTTTTATTCCAGAAATACTGTTTGATTATGTGATGCTACCTCTGGGGATGTTATATAATATAAACTGTCTATACCATTTTACCTCTCTGAAACATGTGTGGCCCTATAGATTTTGAATATGGGATTATAGATCTATAATGATTATCTCAAAGTGTTGAGATTTAAATAATTGTGCAGAGTACTTACAGTGGCTGGCCCATAGTAAGTGCATAATAAAAGTTTATTATTCCTGATACATAGGTTTATTTGTGGGCCAGAGTCCCCTCACATCTAGATGTGCTGAAGAAATTCTGCCAATATCTGCCTTTCTGGACTTTCCTTTCCTAGACCTGTGCCCCTAATCACCATCTGTAGTGTAGTCACTTAGCAAGTCATCTCTGCTGCTTACCATTATATTCCTAGCATAGCACACAGTGCCTGATCTATAATATAGGTGCTTAAAATATATTTATTGAATGAATAAATGTAACAATCCAGGCTGCTTCTCGGAAGTTACATTCAAGTTACCTTGATTGGATTATTGTGTGTCACAGTTTTTTAGCTTTCTTCTACCGGGGTTGATCCTTTTTTCTTTTTTTCTTTCCTTTTTTTTTTAAGGGCTGTGATAGAGGTAGATTTTATTTTTAGTCTCTAGTATAAACTTGTTTATTTTAAAATAACAGTTTTGTTGAGATATAATTTGTATAACATAAAATTCACCACTTAGTGTATACAATTCAGTGTTTTTTGGCATTCAGAGCTGTGCAACTATCACCACTACCTAATTTAAGAACATTTTCATTACCCCCCTCAAAGAAATCCTGTACCCATTAACATTAATTACCCTTCTCACCCCAGCCTACAGGGACTGATCTTATCTCTAGCATTTTAATGTTCCTAATTACATTCTTGGATGATAACCTGATCTTGAGTTTGGGGGGGGTAGTTCTATTGCTATTTGTTCCATGTTTCAATTCAGTATGTAGTTCCCAGATCCCCTCAAATCCGGAGATGACATCGGCTGTTCTCTCTGGTAAATAGTTGGGTAATGAGAGGTGAGCAAAAGGGGGAGAAGCAGAGGAGGGCTTCTTTTAGGGGTAGATGTTTCATGTTTCTGCCTTAGCTGTTCTTCAGTTACTGCATTTGTCTCAGAAAGACTCAACTGTTTCACTCTGTACCATGACCACAGGTCTTTTGTAACCTGCCCTTTCTAGTTATATTTCTAATAATGTAGTGATTAAGAGCAGGCTCTGAAGATAAACTGTCCCAGTTCAAAATCTGGGACTTTAGTGCTTCAGGTTTCCTTATCTACAAACTGAGCATACCAATAGCACCTATTGTTTTGAGGATCGAATTGAAATAATAGATGTGGATTACTACATATCTCACTTTACACATACATACATAATACAAATATTGGCTATTATTTCCTCCTAGTCATTACTGCCCCTGTCTCTAAATTGAAAATCTGGAATTTGCTAGTCCTTGAAGGAAAGAATAATTTTATACTTCTACAACTTTGCGGTTATCTCCATTCTTACCTCTTTGATGAACTCCTACTTATATTCTTCAAGGTTAGCTGAAATTAGCTGAAATGTCATCTGTAGCTTCTCTGTAACTTATTCAATCTCTCTTACTTCTAAGAACTAATTGCTTCTTCTTGTGTTTCCATAGCACATTGAATACTTATTATAGCACTTACATTGCACTATATTTTTTTGCCTACTGCAGTTCTTGTCACACAGTAAATATCTAATGAATTCTGTTAATGTAAGACTACAAAGCTTTAGGGAATTGGTCAGTAAATCATCCAAATATATGTAACCAGTGACTAAACTGATTCTTCCAGGAATGGACAGAATGAGGGAGGTTGTAAATTTAAGATGGCTCTTAAGAAAAAGAACTATATCTTAGAGGGGTAGTGGTGGCAATAAGTGATTTTAAGACGATGGACTTAAACCTGCTTTATTTAAATTTTTACACCTGGAAAAAATGGACCTTTACGTACCCCATGATCTTTATCCACTTATACTACAAATATTTGTCGCAAAAATGCTCTTTTGGGCACAGAAGTTAACGTCTTAAGTGAAAGACTGTTTTGAAAGTGCTCTGTAAATTTAAATTAATTAGTTTTATGTTTAAATCTAGGGCGACTCTGACAGGCTTGATGGGTTTAAGGTTGACTGAGGATCACACTAGATGTGGATTGGTGGCAGAGACAGGTAACGCCAAGGGAGCGACTGGGCAAGTGTGCTCCCGTGGGAGTGTGAGTGGGCGTGTGCGTTGGGAAAAGAGGGCGAGTGCGAACTGGGTGAGAAAGCAGGTAGGGGGAGTCTGCGGGCGTGGAGAGATGCGCAGGAAGCAGGGACGAGCGGGGCGCAGGACGCGGTGACGAATACACCGGACGTGGTGACGTAGCGCGCAGGCCGCAGCGGGGGGCGGACTCTCGGCCTTTCTTCCCCTTCTGATTTTCCCCCTCCCCCTTTTCTCCCTTTCCGGGTTTGGTTCCCCCCTTTTCTCCCCTCTCCCCCCTCCTTCCCAAGCCCCTTTTCCCCTCCCCCGCCCCAGTCCCCCCTGCTTCTCTGCCTGGAGCTCTGGGGAAAC